AACTCTCTAAATTCCCCACTCTCTAATTTTCCACCCTTTCAAATTCCCAATTCTCCAAATTCCCCACTCTCTAATTTTCCACCCTTTCAAATTCCCAATTCTCCAAATTCCCAACTCTCCAAATTCCCCACTCTCCAATTTCCCATCTCTCCAAATTCCCCACTCTCTAATTTCCCACCCCTTCAAATTCCCAACTCTCTAATTTCCCACCCCTTCAAATTCCCAATTCTCCAAATTCCCAGCTCTCCACATTCCCCACTCTCTAATTTCCCACCCCTTCAAATTCCCAGCTCTCCAAATTCCCCACTCTCTAATTTCCCACCCTTTCAAATTCCTCACTCTCTAATTTCCCAGCTCTCCAAATTCCCCTCTCTCTAATTTCCCACCTCTCCAAATTCCCGACTCCCTAAATTCCCATATCTCTAAATTTCCCACTCTCTAAATTCCCATATCTCTAAATTTCCCACTCTCTAAATTCCCATCTCTCCAAATTCCCCTCTCTCTAATTTCCCACCTCTCCAAATTCCCGACTCCCTAAATTCCCATATCTCCAAATTCCCGACTCCCTAAATTCCCCACTCCCTAATATCCCAACTCCCTAAATTCCCGAATTCCCACACTCGCGTAACCCTAAATTCCCGGCTCCCCATGTAGCAATTTCGTTGGAGCTCCGACTTGATGGATGCCGCCATTTTGTGCTACCTTCGTGTAATGGAGGCGTGTCAGACTCCTCATGGCCCAGAACACTGGATCATCGAATCAGAGGTGAAAAATTGAGCCTCCATACATTTCTTATCCCTAGGCTGTAACTCGGGAGACTTAAGGAGAATCCATCTCAGCGGGAATCACTTTGTTCGGCAAAGGGTATCGTGAACGCTCATTTAGAATCACTTCTATTCAACGAATATGATTCCCTTTTCTTCAAACTTTCCTGCCTTTTAATTTACTCGTGATATCTCTATTTTTCCTTATAACTTTTATCGAAGAAGTAATTAAACGATGCAACAAAAGTGGAGGTTATGTTCGTCAGGAACTCTGACAATAATTAAATTTCATTTGTCTGGCTGCACAAACGAATCGGCAGCTTCGCAAAGTGATGGGATGAATTTCAAAAAAACAAACAAACAAAATTGAAGGAGTGGAACAAAAATTGGATTGTACACAAAAGAAAAAAAGTAAAACCAAGCATGAATGGAAATACTTCAAAGTTTCAACATGAAATTGGACCAGTGTCATTCATTCCGCGGTATTTTTATCTCCATTTGTTTTTGCTGCACGAAATCCACTGTTCGTAAAGCATGCGGAATTTCTCGTTCCGGTAGCGGAATCGAAAATTTTGACCTATCTAAAAAAAGAACGGAATAAATTGCGAACAGAGATAAAATTTGATTTATTGTTCTCGTTGACTATAAATTTTCCTATCTCCATCGTGCCGACAGACGAGATAGTGCTATATTTTTTCAGCTGCTAACAAATAACTAGGCTCTGCGTTGATTCAACAAAAGGCAAATCGCTGATCAAATGGAGTACTACACCATTTTGTTACTCAATCACGAAGATGGCGCACTGTTTCTCCTTCGAGGTTATGTTTCGAAGTTTAGGAAATTTATTCTTACAAAGTATGACACTGATTTTAATTAGAAAATGGTGAACAATTTATCGCAAGCTTATTTATTATCATTAAATTTATTACAAGTTTCGTAATAAAAATTTCTGTCTTTGCATCACTGTTATTAGATAAACTTGTGTGGATATTTTCACTTATATTGTGCAGATCATTTTTAATACATTTTCTTTTTATTACATCATTTTTATTAAATTATATGTAATTTTTGACTGCAGCAATTTTCGTTCTTCGTTAAGAAATTTTCGTTCAGCAGCAATTTTCCTTCCAGTTCAGGGATATTACATCACCGAACGAAAATTGTCGCGAAAGATTTCAACCACCGTAGGAAATGACGTCGGTGTTTTCTTATCCCGTTCGATAAAACGTTCTTATTTGCGCTGAGTTCCCGTTCCGCCAAGAAATCGAGCTTTCATCGAAAAACGTTATTCCCTTCGATCACGCTTTACATCGGCCCACGTTCTCACTTTTTCCTTCGATGTATTATTTATTTATCGCAGTTACCCTTCTCTACCTTGTAACGAGGTTATCCTCGTTACATTCGACTGAGAGAAATTGATAGATGGCGCTGCCGGTCCCTGGAGTGTGAATCGAGCTGCAAGTTATTATTATTGGATTCTTTGGCGCTTATCTTCTTTCAAGATGACCGGGACTTCCCTCGAGGAAATCTACTCAAATCATAAATCAGCAGGGGAAATCTTCCGGAATACTTCCTGCTGATATTTTACCTTTATTAGTTGCATTAAAATTACCCGCCTTGAGAGGAAAGTGGTCCGCCATTTTGTACTTCTACAAATTAAATATTCAGACGATAGTATTTGTTCTATAGTATTTTTACTTTAGTCTCAGATGCAGGGTTATGTGTAATAATTCATTATCCACTCTGACATTTAATATCTACGAATTCCAACAAGTGATATTGCAACGCGTGAAAGTACGACACGTGGAACTATAGGGCATGGAACTATGGCGCGTGGAGTTACAGTGCGTGGAATTATGGCGCATGGAATTCCAGCGCGTGGAATTCCAACGCGTGAAAGTACGACACTACAGCGAATGGAACTATGGCGCGTGGAGTTACAGTGCATGGAATTCCGGCGCGTAGAATTCCAACGCGTGGAACTATGGCGCATGGAATTCCAGCGCGTGGAATTCCAACGCGTGAAAGTACGACACGTGGAACTACAGCGCATGGAACTATGGCGCGTGGAGTTACAATGCGTGGAGTTACAGCGCGTAGAATTCCAACGCGTGGAACTATGGCGCATGGAATTCCAGCGTGTGGAATTCCAACGCGTGGAACTATGGCGCATGGAATTCCAGCGCGTGGAATTCCAACGCGTGAAAGTACGAAGCGTGGAACTACGGCGCATGGAATTACAGCGCGTAGAATTCCAACGCGTGGAACTATGACGCATGGAATTGCAGCGCGCGGAATTCCAACGCGTGGAACTATGGCGCATGGAATTCCAGCGCGTGGAATTCCAACGCGTAAAAGTACGAAGCGTGGAACTACGACGCATGGAACTATGGCGCGTGGCGTTACAGTGCGTGGAATTACGGCGCGTAGAATTCCTACACGTGTAACTACGGCGCGTGAAACTATGGGGCGTGGAACTACGGCGCATGGAATTTCAGCAAAGTAACCAAAAAGCAGTGATGCAACTATTCTTTGAGTTGTGTTTCTAGCGACTGAACGAGAATCCCAACCTAATATCCGTTCGCAATTATAGCAGGAAATCGAAAAGAATAGCAGAACACCAGAAAGAAAAATAAATAAAAAGTGAAGGCAAATATCTTGTGCACGATCCTCCAGAATAGCCTCAAAGCGAATGAAAGAACTTCTTCCAACAATTCTACCGTTTGAAATTCATCCCCCTTAAATTATACGTCGTTTAATTCGATCTCTGCCAGAATCAATATTAGCAGAACCCAAAAAGTAAGCCGGTGTCCAGAATGACCCAGTGACTCGGCACATCCGCTTCTATTTTGGATCATTATTTATTCCGCGGTCGTGGTTGGCCCTTGTTCGTCCGCGCCCTCCATTTCCTTTTCGGCGACTGTCCCCTTTAAATCTGCTCGTACCAGCTGAATCTCGGATCCAGTCGCTGATATATTCCCCGCTCTGTGTCCGCGGATCGCGAAATATAGTGTTTGGCAAGCACGGTAGAAATTGTAAAAAACCTTGGTCAGCATAGTAAACTAGAAACAGGGACGGTATTGCGCGACTCCCGGGAAGATAAACAACGATGACGAAGTCTTTGCGACGGCTTAGGGGTTTAAAGGAGCTACAGGTGGATCTGCGAGTCGAAAAAACTGCAAGTTTGTTTGTGACGCGGTTTCTTTAAGTTTTCGTGCATAAAACTCTTAACCTATGATTTCTTTTTGTTAGTCATAGCTACGTTCATAGTTCCACGCGTTGGAATTCTACGCACCGCATTTCCACGCACTGTAACTCCACGCGCTGTAGTTCCACGCGTCGTAGTTCCACGCTTCGTACTTTCACGCGTTGGAATTCCATGCGCCATAGTTCCGCGCGTTGGAATTCTATGCGCTGTGACTCCACGCACTGTAGCTCCACGCGCCATAGTTCCACGCGTCGTAGTTCCACGCTTCGTACATTCACGCGTTGGAATTCCATGCGCCATAGTTCCACGCGTTGGAATTCCACGCGCTGCAATTCCATGCGCCATAGTTCCACGCGTTGGAATTCTATGCGCTGTAACTCCACGCACTGTAGCTCCACGCGCCATAGTTCCATGCGCCGTAGTTCCACGCTTCGTACTTTCACGCGTTGGAATACTACGTGTTGGAATAACACGCGCTGGAATTTTACGCCTCATAGTTTTACGCGCTGTGGTTCCACGCGTTGGAATTCTACGCGTCGTAATTCTACGCACTGTAACTCGACGCGCTATAATTCCACGCGCCGTAATCTCATGTGCTTGGAATTAATAATTCAAAGACAAAGCTTCAAACCCCATTTTTGCAGAGGGAAATCTTATTCAGAATCACCTCCCCCAGTGATCTACACTAGTTATGGAACACCCTGTGTAGTATCTGGGCAACTATACATATGCCTTTGTACTGAACATCAGGTACTACAAAATAAACCCTCAGTAATTTTAACCAAACTTTCCTCACAACCCATAGTTATTTACTATTTAAATAATTACGCGGGGAATCAGTAACTATCCGTATGAGAATGTGGAAGTAGAAAGTTCCGTGTGGTTAATGGAGTAGCGAAGATTGAAGTGTATCCACTACGTATCGGAAAATCCTGTAATCGGTGGCATTAACGAGAAAGTAGGTTTCAGCTGATGGGAGACATTCCTCGAAGGAAATTCATTAACACTGGTGTGTCTCTGTCGTGTAGGTTTCCACACGTACACCCTGAACGAAACCACGCACACAGAGAGGGAAGAGGACGAGATACTGACAGTGAGATACGAGGACGGCAGGTGGTCGAAACCGTACTATGATTGCGGGGGCGGGAACATCTGGATGCTGACCTACACCGTACCTTTCTTCGGATACGTAAACGACACGTACTTTTTCAAGTAAGTGATTTTTTACTGTTTTTTGATAGAATTTTATTGTATTATGCTAATTTATGTACATACATATGCTTACACGTATACATATGTGTACACATATGCATAGACATACATATGCATACATGTACATACATACACATATATATACACATATATATACACATATGCATAGACATACATATACATACATAGACATACATATACATACATATACATATACATGTGCATAGACATACATATGCACATACATATGCATACATGTACATACATACACATATATATACACATATGCATACATACACATATGCATAGACATACATATGCATACATACACATGTGCATAAATATACATACATATACATATACATGTGCATAGACATAGATATGCATACATGTACATACATACACATATATATACACATATGCATAGACATACATATGCATACATACACATATGCACACATATGTGCATAAATATACATACGTATACATATTCATATGCATATACATACATATACATACATATACACACATACATATATACATACACATGTGCATAGATATATATACATGTACATATACATATACATATATTATACATTGACTTATATATGCGATAAAAACGAAATGCATGTATGTGACACATTGATGTGAACATTCAGAAGTTACTAAAGCCCTCTTCCCTCTATCTCAACATTCAATATCTGCAGATCACTATGTCCATAGTAGAACATAACCTATAAACCTACATTACATAGCACCATAACAGTAACCCTATAGATTAGTATAACAGTAGGTCTGTGTTATACTACATTCAAGTCACCATGTCCCTAGTACATAACCTATAAGCCTACATTATACAGCACCATAAATGATAACTTTATAGGTTAGTATAAAAGTAGACCCATTATATACTATATTGTGCAGTATCATTATTACTAGTGTATAATATTACTAGTCATACAAATGCAGTGTTATAATACAATGATTGAAGTATAGTGCATTAAGCAAACTGTGACAGAAATAGCTGCTAAATTGTCACCAGATAATTTCCTCCTATATTGTATCCTACATTATATCCTCCTATATTATATAACGTTGCTCCTATTAGATATGAATTATTTCAGAGATCGTCACACATATATTTATCGGTTGATACACGTAATAAAACCTCCGCGTCATTTCGTCAGGGAATAAATAAAAATTAGTTTGGAGAATCCAGCACGGCGTGGGAGCAGCCATTGATTCGAAGATAATGGCGGGAAAATTATGATCCACCTCCCACTAACCGGGCGCTGTAAATTGTTCAATAAACAATAGAAGACTCGCAAATTCAGCGTATTACTTCGAAACCCCAAAGTCTCGGATAGCAAGTCTTTTCTCGTAGCATCTGAAATATTATTCGAGCTATATCGTTAACTTAGCATAACTGTTTCCTTTGCAAATATTGATGTTCTCGTACAAGTATTAATTGGGGTTACGATTATGGTTGGCTGCTTTCGGGGCAAATGCAGTGTTCAGCGGATTTCGGACCAGTCGAAATTTCTGTCGACATCGCGGTTTTATTTGTGAACCACGCAATCATTTTATCTCTGTATCCGTGTCATTTTATCTCTATGTTTCGGTCGTGCGAAAAATAATCCAAATTAAACTTCTGATTGCAATTTCAATCTTGTAACGATTACAAACATCCGAACCTTATCGAATTACCAACTCGATATTTTTAAACGTAACTCGAGGTGTCGGGAAGTTTGACGCTCGTTTAAAATCGAGGTTAGGTTGCTCTAATAAAAATCTCCATAAATCAATATTAGATTCGACACCGGATAATCAAGTTGAACCGCGCGCCAATTACCATCCGGTTCGATGATTAATTACACTCCATCGACGTGGAAAGATAAAAAAAATGATACACGACAGGATAAAACGCGGACAACCGGACATAATCTGTTATTTATTTAACTCCGTTTAATGCGTACGGATAAAAATTTGGGTTAGGTTGCTTAAATTATGGGAGTATTAGCGAGACTGGGTCAGACATTACTCGAATATTTTCCCTTTATCTGCGTTAATCTGTTCTTGATGTTTATGGGTAGAAACGTAAATTAGGTTAGGTCGACATTCAAGATTAGGAAGATGTCAGATATAATATTATTTTTGATAATTTAATGTGCTCTGCGTACTAATGAAATTCGAGAAGGTTAATGAGGTTAGGTCATGACGGTGTGCAAGGAAGTTAGGTTAGGTAACGTACAATGCATAATACATTTTATTAAATGAGGTTAGGTCATGACAGTGTGAAGGGAAGCTAGGTTAGGTAACCTACAATGCATAATACATTTCATTAAATGAGGTTAGGTCATGACAGTGTGCAAGGAAGTTAGGTTAGGTAACCTACAATGCATAATACATTTCATTAAATGAGGTTAGGTCATGACAGTGTGCAGGGAAGCTAGGTTAGGTAACGAACAATGTATAATACATTTTATTAAATGAGGTTAGGTCATGACAGTGTGCAGGAAAGCTAGGTTAGGTAACGAACAATGCATAATACATTTTGTCAAATATTAAATACATTTGATTTATTCATTTTATTATCCCTTGAGTGTATCTATGTTGAGTTTGAAATAAAGTTAAGTTAAAGTAGGTAAGATCGAGTTACATTTCCGCCATCTTATTGAGAACTGCAGACAGGAAACGATGGCAGATTTTGCGAGAAGCATTCCAGAGGTTATGTCAGGTACTGCAGCCATCATTGTTCTCGTATTATTTCGGAATCCACAGAGACGGATGTTGTCCGGACGTAGAGAGAGAATGAAGCGGTACACGTGGAACGTAACCGCAGCCAACACGCTCGCGTTCCAATCAAACCTCCTGGGGACCGGAAGTCACGCGACGTTGAAATACCACCGATCCGGAGAACCTAACAAATCGAATACTCGTATCTGACGACGATATGCTGTCTTTCAATTACCTTAAACCTTTGATATCCGAAGAGCAAAGCCAGTTTGTGCTGGAGATATGCCGGCTTAAATGTGTTAGATTATATGTCGGTCGTCATAATTCTGATCAGAATTAGGTTGATTGAGGTATATTGGCGGTGTAAATCAACTGGCAGGTGTATGGTAAGCTTGAGTCAAAATACTGCGTACAGGGTGATCATAAAATGGTGGTCGAAATGAATTAGGTTACATAGATGTCATTCAATGGCTGTTATTCGTCAAAATAAATCAGGTTGGATCACGTGAGAGTGAACTGAGAGTTCTTAGTTAAATTTGCATCAAAGTATAATATACAGGATGATCATAAAATGGTGGTCGAAATGAATTAGGTTACATAGATGTTTTTCAATGGCTGTCATTCATAAAAATAAGTCAGGTTAGATCATGTGAGAGTGAACTGAGAGTTCTTAGTTAAACTTGCATCAAAGTATAATATACAGGGTGGTCATAAAATGGTGGTCGAAATAAATTAGGTTACATAGATGTCATTCAATGGCTGTCATTCATAAAAATAAGTCAGGTTAGATCATGTGAGAGTGAACTGAGAGTTCTTAGTTAAACTTGCATCAAAGTATAATATACAGGGTGGTCATAAAATGGTGGCCAACATAAATTACATATAGATATCATTTATTAAAATGAGTTAGCTAAGGTCATGTACTGATTGTAAAAGATCGTAATTAAATTTTAGTCACAACGTGGTACACAGATGTACAGGATGATTATAAAGTGGTGGTCCTGAATTAAAAATATACAGGGAGTCGCTAAAGTGGTGGTCCAAGTATCAACCTACAGAAATTACAAATTCCAGTTATGAATGATTGAAATGTTATTATCTATGTACAGGGCGTTACACACGTAACAATCGAAAATACAATAGTCGTTATCAAAATAAAAGATTGAATAGAAATTGCAAACTACAGTTCTGAAAAAGCATGTTTCTAAAACAATACGCATGATAACAAATCATTTGAAAAACACGATATCTGTATGAGATTCCTGTTGAAACACAAGCCGTGCATTCGAGCCGAATTGTCTGCAACCGTGATCGATATTTTGCGAGCTAGGACCGTGTTCGGGTGAAATCTAGAGTATTTGCCGCGTATCGGGACACGAACGCTTCACGGTCTACAGATTTTCTGAATGGCTTCACTATCGGAGGGTAAGAAGAAGGATTAAGAACTGATCGACTGGAAAGGAATGCTATTGGAGCTATCAATTGTAGTCCTTCGAGAATGTTGCCAAAAATCAAGCCTATTAAAATTTCGAGACATTCATTGAACTTGTAACATGATCGGGGTTCTATTTGATTAAAATGCTAATCAAATGTCTGCAATAACCTCTGCGTCACTTTGACCACATTGGCAAGGGTAGTTTATCGTTGAAGTTTATACGAAATTAAGTGTGCATCTGTTTAGACGAAATTAGCGTACGAGGCACAAGTATCTTTGCAATTAGCATAATAGACAGGAGAAGATGCATGTTCCAATTAAGGAACGTTTCTATGTTGAAGTAAACATGCAACAAGGGTACGCAGCAAGACAGTTATCTAAATAAGCTGGTTTTATTATCGAGTCTCTTAAGAATGTTTGTGTAAGAGATTTAATCTCTTGTAATAGGTTTAGGATGCTCGTAGTTTTTGCGTAAGATATCGATACAATCATAATACATTGGTTTTGCATCAATTTAGATAGCAGAACCTGAAGGAAAAATGGAGATCTTCGTTAGGGGATCTCTGCTTTATCGCAGGATCTGTCTCCTTATTATCATAAAGTTTGATTGCTGAAACTGGTGGAGATTTTCGGCTTGAGATATAGGGAATAAAGGGATATTTCAATTAGGGTATATTGCGACTTCATTTCGGAATAGGGACATTTAGCAGAATTAATAATAGAGATACGCTGTGGTATATAAAATGGTCTAACCTCAAAATTGCTGTACTACTGTTGTAATTCACTGCGGAAAATTAGTATAAATGGAAAGATATTAATCAGAACAAAT